CGGAAGAGCTTGGATACTCGTTTATTCGCTATCAATCGGAACGCGGATAACGCGAGATCGTTGGGAGGTTCGCAAGAAACGAAAAACCGGGATCAGAAATGCAGGGAGCGTCGAGTGATCGATGTTTATTCTCTCGAACTCGAGTGAAACGCGATCGCGACGCCTTCGTGTTTCTCTTCGCTGATAATCAAATCTCGCCAGTGGCGCCCTCTTCTTACAAAATGGCTTTCCCATTCCGGGAAAAGATGGAGAAGCGAACGGGGTTAAGAGAGTGGTGGGACGTTAAAACGACGGTATCGACGAGAGGGTCGCAATCTCGATAACTTAAACAACGGGATCCAATCGTATGTGCCGCGATTTAAATTTGGACGAGAGCGTGGCGAACACGGAATCGAATGAAAGTCCCGTCTGATCGAATCAGAACAGCGCTCCCGTTTGCCCGTTCCTCGGAATCTATTAGGCGAGTCAACACAAACGATTGAAATTTCTCAACTACTTTCCACCCTCGTTCGTTCGTTCCCGTCTGCTCGTCGATTCGGCCTCCGTGTAACTTCGCGCACCATCTGAATAGTGCACACGCGATTCCACCTGTCTGGAAAAATGTTTCCCTCGATCGATAAAGGTGTACAAATATTGACTATTCGAATGGATTGTAAATCTTTCCACCGCGGCGGATTAATATTTCGATTTTAATCGCGACGACGAGATGACGAGATGGATTGATAGAACAGGTGTGTGCCCCTCTCTATTTTCACCTGGTCCGCGTCCTTTTATTTCACCCAAGATTTCTCGCGATGGACACAACTATTATCGTCGGAGGACGACACGAATTTCTCGCCCGATTCCAAAGTCTCGCGAACTTCTGGTTCGACGGCGCGTTATCGGAGACGTGACTTCGGTGTGCGAGTACTCGCTTGGCCGTATCGATCGTCGAGCATTTCGCGTGGACGCCGCCATATTTCAAGGGGCGAAACAATTTCGTGAATCGTCGCGGCGATCCGTCAAAAACGCCGCGAAGAAAAACGAGCACGAGCGAAACGTCGCTAAGCGACGCGACCAATGACCACGGCATCGCCAACCACGCCATTTTCCAACCCCATGAACACTTGCCCCGCGCGAATTTCGAAAATTCCCGATCTCGTCGCGTTTTACCCGTGGACTAATTTCTCCGCGAGGAGCCTCTCTTTCAAGGAGCCTAGGTAAACGATAAGCTCGCGTAGAAGCGATCGGTGGGATCGCGTGGATGATCGATCACTCGCCGAGACCTCGCGCGACTCGATCCCTGCGTGATTCCTTCGCGGATTCTTCGCGGATCCGCGATGCCTTCGCGGGAAGGAAGCTCGCGGAAGTTTCGCTCCGACTCGCC